AACCTTTTCTTTTTCAAAATTTTTTCAATACCTTTTTTTTTTAAAAAAAGGTACTGGAAAAATGATTTTAGAATTTAAAATCCGTTAAAAAATTCATCAATTATACCCTTCAAAAAGAAGAGAAAATTATAAAAATTTAACCAGTTGCAAATTATCTTGACAAAAGTAATCAGAATTAAACCTATGTATGCAGATAATTTTACCTGTGTAAAATTATTGTTTAAACAGTGGACAATGTTTTTAAGCGATGATGGCTTATTATAAAAGGTCAAGGAGGGCGCATGAAAGGATAGGTAGGCTAGGGTGCCCTTCTCAAAAGACTTAGGGCAAACACTGTATACATGAAAGAATACTTTGAGGACTAATAAATGGCTTCTTCGTCCTTAAAATTTTGATGATCATTTGATTTTTATGTTTATTTATTTTTGAAACACCAATTTTACTGACTATGCTGAAGTGTTTTAGTTTAAATATAATTATTTATGTTTAATATTTATGTTTGCAAACGTGAACTATTCCATTAAAAAATATTTGAATATTTCTAAACTTTCAAATGTTTAAACTTATTGATATTGTAATTAAAAAACTGTTTTATTTTTAGTTTAAATTTTATGTTTTTGTATTCTAGAGATAATACCGTATTTCCAATGCATTCTAACTTGCAAGCTAGGTTTTTCTAAATTTCTTCTTTTATCTTTTTGCAAAGATAAATAACGAAGAATATGGAGAAGCATTGGCTCTTGTTCAGACCTATAATTTAGATACTAATCTTGTGTACCAGCGTCAGTGGAGAAAAATGCCCGCTACTGTTGAGACTATTCATAATTATTTAGTAAGACTGGTATTATTTACCTTCAATTTGTTTCTCTATTTAACACATTATAAAGTATTTATCATTATGTTTTACAGGAATCGAACAATAAGATTTTTAATCTAGAATGTATAAATCTAACATTTCAGTACCGAGTACTCTTCTAAGGATGTTGATCAGCTTTTTCTCTTTCAGAAAACTTGATCTGTTAAAAAGTTTTGAAGAGTGCAGAAGAAAGTTTTTCATTGGATCATAACAGCTTGGGGTTATGCTAGAAAATAGAATTAGAGATGACATTAATGTTATATGCTAAAATTGCAAATTTTGACTGACTGTAGATGAGTCGAACAGTTGCAGCACAAAATCTATGGAACTTTTATACTGTTTCCCCTTCTCAGTAACTCTTTCCAGGGTTAGCTGTTTTTAAACCACAGTTTAAAATCAACTCTTTTTTTTAAAAAAGAAACCAAGATTAGTTTTTTTATAGAAATAATTTGAAATAAGTAACTTAATTTTCTATTACTTATAAAAATACTTTAATTTAAATTTCATCTAATGAAAAAATAGTAAGTATTCCAAAAATATATTTTATAATGAGTTTATTGCTAATATAAGTTTAATAAACAATTGTGGTTTCTTAATGTTTACGTATTATTGCTCTACTACAAAAATATATTTATAAAATAAATTAACGTGTGTAAATTTAAAGCTAAGTCATAATGCTTCTAAAAAGTCTTAAAATAATACAGACCATGAACAACTGCATGTTCTGATAGTTTTTAAAATTATTTAAGAAATGTAATTATAGAATGAGTTAAATTNCTGATCTTGTGTACCAGTGTCAGTGGAGAAAAATGCCACCTACTGTTGAGACTATTCATGATTATTTGGTAAGACTGACATTATTTACCTTCAAATTGTTTCTCTATTTAACACATTATAAAGTATTTATCATTATGTTTTACAGGAATCGTCGTTGAACAATGAGTTTTTTTTTAATCTAGTTAGTATAAATCTAACATTTCAGTACTAGGTACTCTTCTAAGGATGTAGATCAGCTTTTTCCCTTTCAGAAAACTTGATCGATTAAAAAGTTTTAAAGGGCACAGAAGAAAGTTTTTCATTAGATCATAACAGTTGAGGTTATGCTAGAAAATAGAATTAGTGAAGACATTAATGTTATTTGCTAAAATTGCACATTTTAACTGACTGTAGATGAGTCGAACAGTCTCCTTCTGGGTTAGCTGTTTTTTAAACCACAGTTTAAATCCAACTTCTTTTAAAAAAGAAACCAAGATTAGTTTTTTTTTATAGAAATAATTTGAAATAAGTGATAATATAAGTAACTTAATTTTCTATTACTTATAAAAATACTTTAATTTAAATTTCATCTAATGAAAAAATAGTAAGTATTCCAAAAATATATTTTATAAGGAGTTTATAGCTAATATAAGTTTAATAAACAATTGTGATTTCTTAATGTGTACGTATTTATAGCTCTACTACAAATATATATAATAAATTTACGATTGAAATTTAAAGCTAAGTCATCAGCTTTTTCTCTTTCAGAAAACTTATCGGTTAAAAAGTTTTAAAGAGCGCAGAAGAAAGTTTTTCATTGGATCATAACAGCTTGAGGTTATGCTAAAAAATAGAATTAGTGATAGAATTAGATAGAATTACAAATCTAAAAATTAGACACTTCTAGAAAGTCTTAAAATAATACAGACCATGAACAACTGCATGTTCTGATAGTTTTTAAAATTGTTTAAGAAATGTAATTATAGAATGAGTTAAATTTTTTTTCAATCTTGTTAAATAATTCATTTGTATTCTACCATCCAAGGGAAAGAGGCCCTTTTCTAAATTTTATGTTTTTTTATTTTTCAGATTTCTTAAAATTTTTCTGTTACCAGTGCAAACAAAATTTTTTTTATGTATGCTGTATTATTTTATTTAAGATTCTAATACAATATTTTCAAATACAATGCTAATATAAAAGAGTATAA